AACGTAGTTCAAAGTCTGGTTTTGCTGTCGATTGCCTGAACGCTGAAACACTGTTTTTCCAGGAACGGGGAGGTAACAACTCTTTCACTCATGAGGCCCTCACACTCAAGTATAAACTGGACAACCAGTTTGAGCTGGTGTTTGTGGTAAGTGAAGGGTGTGCTAAAAAGATGGGTTATGTTCTCTACAGGATCCGCATTGATCAACCCAATTAGCTCTATTGTGTGTGTGCTGTGTGATGAAATAATAGATAAAACATTTGAAATTTGGAGGGGAGAAAGCAAGCAACTTCTGGGCAAGGTGGGAAGATTGGCTACCTCTCAGGACGGGAAACTTTTATCTCTGGAGGCCTGGGTTGAGTTGGCCTCGTTCCATTCTGGGCTGCCATGTAAGGAGATCTTTTGGCTTTGTTTCCTTCCATAAACAGGTTGGCTTTCAGAAGATCCTCACACTGACCTATGTAGACAAATTGATAGATGATGTGCACCGGCTGTTTCGGGATAAATACCGCACAGAGATCCAACAGCAAAGTGCTTTAAGTTTATTGAATGGCACTTTTGATTTCCAGAATGACTTCCTGCGGCTCCTTCGGTGAGACTTCCCCATTTTAAAACCAGTGATGGTTTGATAAGTGCCTTGCTTGCAGGTGGCTCAACAATATTAACTTCCAGGTTCAAAGCAGCCACATTTTGCAGCTCATTTCTGACTGTCTCTTTGACGTGTGGGACCTTTTTCTGGAGGCAGATTTTTTTTTCTCCTATGTGAGTTGAAAGACCAACCATTCTATTTTCTCTTTAGTGAAGCAGAGGAGAGCAGTAAAATCCGTGCTCCCACTACCATGAAGAAGTTTGAAGATTCTGAAAAAGCTAAGAAACCCGTGAGGTCCATGATTGAAACACGGGGGGAGAAGACCAAGGAAAAAGCAAAAAACAACAAAAAAAAGGGGGCCAAAAAGGAAGGTGTGTTTGATCTTCCTGAACATGCTAGGCCATCAAAAGTGTTAAGATGGTGCTATAAAAGGTGTGTGGTGGCCTCTTGTCATTGCTGGCCTCCCTCAGTGTAAGTGCTCACTACCCTGTTCTTCCATCCCCCTGTGGTCCAAGTTTGCTCTTAAGGATCTGGAAGAAGTGTAGTTATTATCTGGGTGGTTAGGGCTTGTGTTGTTGGGTTTGTTTTTGTTTTTCCTTCAGTGAGGTTTCTCTTTAACAGGTTCTGATGGCCCTTTGGCTACTAGCAAAATAGCCCCTGCAGAAAAGTCAGGTGTATCAGTGGGACCTGAGAACGGAGAACTTTCCAAAGAGGAGCTGATACGCAGGAAGAGAGAGGAGTTCATTCAGAAGCATGGGAAGGGTCTGGACAAATCCAGGTGAGCACAAGGCTAATCAGTCTCTGGTGACTTACCCAGCTGTGTTAGATGTTAGGGAACTCCTTTTTTTTTTTGTTCTTTCTACTTTCTTACCATAACCGTTTCTCATATGATCTTTTGCAGCAAGCCTACAAAGTCAGATATTCCAAAGGAGAAGGGCAAAAAGGCACCCCGGGTTTGGGAACTAGGTGGCTGTGCTAACAAGGAAGTCTTGGATTACAGTACTCCTACCACCAATGGAACCCCAGAGGCAGCTTTGTCTGAAGATATCAACTTGGTAAGAGGCATAAAGATCAAAGGTCACCATTAGCCAGAAAGCCTTGGAGGGTATACCTGGATTTGAGAGAGGAGTGAACTGTATTTGGAGTTTCTTCAAGGTCTCAGACAATGTTGACAGGGTATGGGATCTTTCCTTAGCTGTTCAGTGTTCCTGATCCCATCTTCTTCCTTTACCCATGTCCTCCAGATTCGAGGAACTGGGCCTGGGGGACAGCTTCAAGATCTGGATTGCAGCAGCTCAGATGATGAAGGGGCCACTCAAAACACCAAACCTAGGTAGAAGACTTTCAGGTGGGAGGTGGTGTGGATGGCTGCAGAATTGATGAGCCATACCTTCTACCTGCTGGCCTTATGTGTATTTGTGGTCTTCTGTGCTTGTAGTGCTACCAAGGGAACTCTGGGTGGCATGTTTGGGATGCTGAAGGGCCTTGTGGGTTCCAAGAGCTTAAGTCGTGAAGACATGGAGTCTGTGTTAGACAAGATGCGCGATCATCTCATTGGTGAGTTTGGAGGACTGGGCTGACTTAAGTGGCATAGAGTCGATAATGGGTAGAACCGTTTTCTAAACTGTACTCTGAGAACAGATCACTGTTAACACAGAACTCATAGCTGTCCCACTCTCCTCAGCTAAGAATGTTGCTGCAGATATTGCTGTCCAGCTCTGTGAATCTGTTGCCAACAAGTTGGAAGGGAAAGTGATGGGGACATTTAGCAGTAAGTATCTGATCAGAAAGATGTTAGGTATCAAGTATGATACTTGGTTTTCTGACTGAATCCCTACATCTCCCCTTTAAGCTGTGACTTCCACAGTCAAGCAAGCTCTACAGGAGTCTCTGGTACAGATTCTGCAGCCACAGCGTCGCGTAGACATGCTCCGGGATATCATGGATGCCCAACGTCGCCAGCGCCCTTATGTTGTCACTTTCTGCGGTGTTAATGGAGTGGGGAAGTCTACCAATCTTGCCAAGGTCGGTTCAGATCTCCAGCCTGCTGCTTTTACTTTTTCACCCTGTGCTTTTAGAGTCCTGCTTCTTCTACATGACAGCTTTTTTTGTTTTTTTTTTTTTTTTTTTTTTTGCAGATTTCCTTTTGGCTTCTAGAGAATGGCTTCAGTGTCCTCATTGCTGCCTGTGATACATTTCGGGCTGGGGCTGTTGAGCAGCTTCGTACTCACACCCGACGTCTCACTGCCCTCCATCCCCCTGAGAAGCATGGCGGTCGTACGATGGTGCAGTTGTTTGAAAAAGGCTACGGGAAGGACGCTGCTGGCATTGCCATGGAAGCCATTGCTTTTGGTAGTGTGGGGACCAAGAGGGCTTACGGTGTCATTTTTGTATTCCCTAGGAATTTGCAGACTTAGGCTTACCAGAGAAGGCAGAATAAGTTACTGGTATGGGTGATGTTTTTGGGTGGTAATATATGTAGTTGAAGGGGAAAAAAGCTAGTGTATCTTAACCACAGCCTTTATCCTATTTATATCCTTTCCCTGAACGGTTTTGGTGGTGACCAAGAATAGGACAGGTTTTTTCTTACATTACCTTGTAACCAAATCCAGAGTCTGAGTAAGTATACAGGATAGGCTTTTCAAATAGCCAGACTGGGACATCCCAGGAAGCTGGCAGTAAACACGAGTGACAGTTGGGTGACTTCACAGAGAGTAAGAAATCTTATTAAGTTGGCAGTATGAGTGACAGTTGTGTGCTTGGAGTTAACTATTTTTCTCTCTCTAGCGCGCAACCAAGGATTTGATGTGGTGCTGGTGGACACAGCTGGCCGCATGCAAGACAATGCCCCCCTGATGACTGCCCTGGCCAAACTCATTACTGTCAATACACCTGACTTGGTGCTGTTTGTGGGGGAGGCCTTAGTAGGCAATGAAGCCGTGGATCAGCTGGTGAGGGGTTGGGCCTAGTTCCCCTCACAACTTAAACCTGGCAAATGAGATGGTTTCTTATGTTACTTTTTCCCTTTTCAGATCAAGTTCAACAGAGCCTTGGCTGACCATTCTATGGCTCAAACACCTCGGCTCATTGATGGTATTGTTCTTACCAAATTTGACACCATTGATGACAAGGTAAAGGTGGATAATACTGGAGAATGAATGTGACTGGAAGGTGGAATGAGCTTCTTTACAAAAGGAAGCTGAGGTGTTTGTGTAAATAGAACTTGAGTTGATTGGCTATCCTCTTTTCCTTCTTCAGGTGGGAGCTGCTATTTCTATGACATACATTACAAGCAAACCCATCGTCTTTGTGGGCACTGGCCAGACCTACTGTGACCTACGCAGTCTCAACGCCAAGGCTGTAGTGGCTGCCCTCATGAAGGCTTAACGTGGCTTTGCCTAATACCAAATTACCGCTTGCCCGAAGTCCCCATTCCTGTATCAAGAATGTGCTTTAGAATATGTGAGCAACTTGTCTTCAGTGTAGTGCAAAGGCAGAGTGAGGGGACTTGCAGCTCCTAACTCTACTCCATGTTCAGCCCTACCTCCTGCAAGGAGGGCCTAATCATGTTACAATCACTGCCCGATGACCCCCCCTCCCCCTTATTACCACAAGCCTCCCTCTTCCTTCTCAGGCATCTCCTTCACTCTGCCTAGATTCAGTATCATAGCTTTGACCAATGGTTGGAAAACCCAACACCTGGAGTATTGCTAACCAGTGTGATCACAGAGCCATCTGAGATAAGGAGCATTTTGAAGTCCCAGCTCTATTGGGTTACTTCCAGAGCCAGCTCTGGGTCTTAATGGCACCTCTCTCTAGAATATACAGCTTTCGGGTCCCTGGTGCCAGGGTGACAGCCACCTCACTGTGGCAGTGATGGTGGTCTATTCTTAATTGCTGCTAATTCTAAATCTGATGATGAACTCTATACCTGATTGTTGCCCCAAAGCATCAGTTAGGCCTTGTTACAAATGAGTGAAAGGTGAGTGCTCACTTCTCTCAGAAACAAAGGGAGCTGAGTTGCCTTCCAACTTGTCCCTGCTCCCAAAATCCAGATGTAAGCTTTGCATGTTTACCTTCCTGGGAGAAAACCAGTTGTCCGAAGGGTTATCGTTGTCCTATACCCCATTCCACCCAACCCTTGGCCTCCTGAGCAGGTCCTGGCTTTTCCCCATCCTCTTCTACAGTGCCTGGTAGACAAGTTGAAGAACACAAACCTCTTGTTAAGACTTGTCCTGTAGTTTGGTATTACAGATGTGCTACTAGTGCAATAAGGTGAAGGCTGTCTGCCCAGAGAAATACATAATTTATATAAGAAAATAAATTTCATAAAGAAATTGCCTCTTAGATCTATATTTACATATAGGATTTTAAACTAAAATGCTAACTCATTCTTGGGTTTCTTTTTGGCAAGAAGGGCATGAAAGGAGCTAACGGTGCTCTGAGGAACTGGACAACTTGTCCTAAGAAAGATCATCCTGTCTAAGATGAAAATAGAATGCAAGTTTCATGTTTAACAATCAACTCTTAAATGTAGAATCAGGGCCCTGGCATGTAAATGAACAAGCTTTTAATACAGCTCAGTTATGTAAAATACTGTACACTGTAAAAGATCTAGAAAACTAGAGCTTCAAGTCATGTTTTAAAAAAGCCATAGCTCAATTGGAAAAACCAAATAGAGTACAAAACTGCAACACAAGCCCACGGACTCCACGACTTCTTGCTCCCCAAGTCCTGCAGAGCTGCCAGCCATAGCCAGGAGCCATCATATTGGTCTGCTGTGTAGATAAGGATGCCCTGCCCTGGGGTGGGTAGGGGCTGCATTGAGTCCTGATGTCACTGGGTATTAAACTGAACCAGGCAGAGTATCAAGAAACAGCCAGCATGAAGGGAAGGTGCAACACTGCTACCCCTATTCTACCCCAAGCTTCAACTTAGGGTGTTGGTACTTCCTGGGAGCTGTTCTGAGTTCTTGTATGTTTGCTTTTGTCACACACATCCACAGGAAGGGCCCATAGCATGGTCTAATGGTGATGTCTCCAGCTTGCTCATGTACTACAGCCTATGGGGAAACAAAAGGAAAAGAATGAAGTTCACAAAAGAAGTTTATGCATCTAAAACTGCTGGTGCTTGCTTAAGTCACTCAGTCCTAAGTTTTCAGAAAGCAGATTCAGAGAATTTCAGATAGGTAAGGAAAGGCAAATTTTGATTTTCTACAGTCTAGAAGTTTCAGGAAGTTTCTCTGCTGACTGATAGAACAGGAAGTAGTATACCTCTTACTCCACCGTGTGCTGCAGATGAACCATTTAGCTGGCCTTCTCTTGCCATCCCTGCTAAAAACAAAATGTTGGTATAGGCATTAGGTGAAGAAGTGGAATTTTTCTTTTCCATTTTTCTTTGTGTGTGTGTGTGCACATGCAAGTCAGGGCTACTTTTGGGTGTTGGTTCTCTTCACTGTGTGGATTGCAGAAATACAACTCAGGTCGTCAAACTTAGCAGCAAATGCCTTTACCCACAGCCGTCTTAGCTGTTCCTGGGAAAGCTAAAACTATTAGTGGCAAAAATGAAAACTAAGGGGAGCTAAGGGCACAGGGTATAACTAAAGATGACATGATACAAGATGAGGTAAGAGTAACTTTCAGACTCAATACTAAACAGAAGCAGTGGATTCCTTACTGCACTAAGATTGGTTTTTGTCTGAATGGATCTCACTGTGTTACCACATTAGGCTTTAGCTGCAGATCCTCTTGCTCTGGCCTCCCTGGTAGTTAGAATAAGTGTGTACTACTTCATAAGACTTTACAAGACTGCTTGTAAACTTTCTTTTGTTTTTTTTTTTTTCTGAGACAGGGTTTCTCTGTAGCTTTGGAGCCTGTCCTGGAATTAGCTCTTGAGACCAGGCTGGCCTCAAACTCACAAAGATCCACTTATCACTGCCTCCCAAGTGCTGGGATTAAAAGCATGCGCCACCACCACCCGGCTAACATTTTTTTTCCAATTTAATTTTCAGACTATTTTTTTTAATGTGCATGAGTATTTTGCCTGCATATATGTTTCTGCACCGTGTGCATAGCTGGTGCCTGAGGAGGCCAGAAGAGGGTGTCAGAACCACCGGAACTGGAGTTACAGTGGTTGTAAACCATCATATGGGTGTTAGGAGTTGAACTCAGGTCGTCTGCAGCAGTCAGAGCTGCTTTAGTATATATATACTAATAAATACAAAGGAGGGCATGGTGATGCATGTTTGAGGAGGGTGAGGGTGAACGCAGCCTGAGCTACACAGCTATTTTCAGACAAATATTTTCATAGAGTGAAACTCGTGTTTTTATTTATTTATTTATTTTAAAGTGTACAAGATTAAGCTTTGTTTACAACTGTGAAAGAATACATTGGTGAAATCAGTTATTTAGTTAAACTGGTTATTTAGCTAACTTAAGTAGCTGAAATAACATTGTACTAAGCTAGGTGCTGCTATAGTAATGCTGTACACTTTTCTGTTCCCCTTGATGACATCTTAGCAGCATGTATCAACTGAGACAGAAAGCATAATAGATGGAAGACAAGCTTGACTCCACATAAAATGAAGAAAAACTGCTCTGCTGGACTGGAAGTTACCTGACAGGCAATTTCAATAGAGAGCCCCATGACCATATGGAAAACCTGTAATTTAAAAATAAACAGGCTGGGCGGTGGAGGTGCATGCCTTTAATGCCAGTATTTTGAAGGAAGAGACAGGCACATCTCTGAGTTTGAGGACAGCCAGGACTATACAGAGAAACCCTGTCTCCACAAACAAAGATCTAGTATGGATCAAATAACTGTAGAGCTTATACCTTATCTCCAGTTTATGTAATCAGAGTACATGAAAGAGAAAAATTCAACCCAACGTTGCAAACATCAGCCTAAAGGTCTGTCACACTGAGGGACACCAGAAAAACTGTCCTCAAGAAAAGGAGAGATCATTTCACAAAAGAGAACCTGCTGGGGAGTGGTGACGCACACTCAGGAGGCAGAGGCAGGTGAATCACTGTGAGTTCGAGGCTAGCCTGGTCTGTAAGACCTAGTTCCAGGACAGGCTCCAAAACTACAGGGAAACCCTGTCTTGAAAAACCAAAACAAAAACCCTGAATGTTTTGCCTTTCTAAGTGTTTTCTAGGCCTTTGGAGAGAGAGAGAGAGAGAGAGAGAGAGAGAGAGAGAGAGAAAAGAAGAGTATGTGAAACATTTGATGCTTAGTTATAGTAATAGAATTTTGAATAAAAGACAATTTTGTCCGGCAGTCGTGGTGCACGCCTTTAATCCCAGCACTTGGGAGGCAGAGGTAGGCTGATCTCAGAAAAAAAGAAAAAAAAAATAAACAAATAAATAAAAGACAAGTTTCCTACTTTAGCCCAGAACCTGCTTCAGCCAACCAAGCACTGCCATGACAGAACACAAATTTTTTTTTACTGGGGCTGGAGAGATGGCTCAGAGGTTAAGAGTACTGCCTGCTCTTCCAAAGGTCCTGAGTTCAATTCCCAGCAACCACATGGTGGCTCACAACCATCTGTAATGAGGTCTGGTGCCCTCTTCTGGCCAGCAGGCATACACACAGACAGAATACTGTATAAATAAATATTAAAAAAAAATTTTTTTTTTTACTATAATTAGAATCCTACTTGGAGTCATCTCTGGGAATGATTAGATTTAGAAATATATACTAGATCACCTGTATTTTAATGTGTTATTGAAAATACATTCAAATTGGTAACAAGAACACTTTTTAAAAAGTTAGAAGCAAGGCTGGAGAGATGGCTCAGTTGTTAAGAGCACTAGCTGCTCTTCCAGAGGACCTGGGTTCAATTTCCAGCACCACATGGCAGCTCACACCTGCCTATAACTACCGTACCAGAGCTTTTGACACCCTCACACAGATAAACATGCAAGCAAAATATCAATGAACATAAAGTAAAATTATCTATCTATCTAAAAAGTTTGAAGCAGGCTGGGCAGAGTGGGTGTGTGTTTGTTTATATAATCACAGTACTTGTGAAGTTGAGATAGGAGGATTCAGAGTTGGTTGTAGGCCAACCTGGACTATACAGTGAGTTCAAGGCCAGCATTCATGGGGCAGAGACGGGTCTGGTCTACAAAGCAAGTTCATCTCAAACAAACAAAAACCAAAAATAAGACAACCCCCTCCCCCCCAAAAAAGAAAAATTCAAAAACTAACCAACAAAGCCAGGTTCTTTATCAACAGTCTGTAACAAACAGCAAGAAAATTCCTTTAGAATTGGGTGGGTGAGTCAGAATGACCATACCCTAGACCTGGCCTTATCCCTCCCCCAAGGCTCCCAGGTTTTCCCCACCTCAAGTTGGGGTCTTGCTATGCGGCCCTTTTGATCCTCCTGCCACAGCCTCTGAGTGCTGAGATTATAGCTGTGCACCATCATGGTTTGTCACACTTCCATCTTTAATTCAACTGTGTGTGTAATCACATTGTTTCTTTATGGAAACTTTCTTACAGGATAAATTATATCAGAAGTGTTTCTGAAACAAAAGGTTCTGAAATTTTTGATATATACATGAAAGAAATTTCCTCATAAACTTATCTCCATTTTGAAACCTGAATTTTAATTGAACCTCACTTGAACTAAGCATCTTCAAAATTTTATGATTTATTGTGCGTGCAGGTATGTGTATGTGTGCACACACGTGTGCACGCACGGAGACCAAAAGAATGAGTCAGATCTAGAACTGGAGTTACAGGAAGTTGTGAGCCTCCTGACATGGTTGCTGGACCTAAACTTGGGTCTTCTGGAACAACAGCAAGTGCTCTTAACGAGTCATCTCTCCAGTACCTCAAAGATTTTTTTAATTCTGTGTATGTATGATACATAAGCAGGGCATGCATGCGCCACAGCACAGGTGTGGAGGTCAAAGGACCACTTTCAGGAGTAGGTTCCTTTCCATAGTAGGCTAAGAGACTGAGTTCAGGTAGTCAGGCTTGAGTGGCAAGTGCATTTTCCTACTGAGGAAAGCTGGCTGGCCTGAAGCTAAGAATACTTACGTGTTTTTCTTACTCTCTATGTGTATGATGACTTGCAAGGGTATATATTATGATTATTTCCCATTATCAAAGTGGTACTTTGGCGTGACCTGAAGGCTGACACTTTTTCTTCTTCCCAAACTGGTCGACACAACACATCCTCATCTTGTCTTTAGCGATTTTATTCCTCACCAACACAAAAAGCCAAAGGGTTGCTGCTTTTTGACCTTCCCTTACCTGATCTGCCTCTTGTGGAGATCTCACATGTCAGTCTCTTGAAATATTCCGGAAGATCAGCATAGTCATTTCCGTAGGAGATGACCTTGATCCCCTTGTCCAGCATGTTTTCTCGGAGCTTCTTGAACTCATCTACATCTCCTCTCCGGACCAGCATGAAATGCTCTAGGTCAGATTTATGCTTGACAGCCTCCAGGAACAGGGCCTGGAAAGTGGTGTCGTCCACCGTCCAGCCACAGCCCAAGAAAAGAAATGACTTGTTTTCATAGAGTTTCTGAATCTCTCTCTTCCAGGAAAAGAAAACAACAGATTACTGACACAGAAGACAGACAAAAGATTTGGCTAAAGCAAAAAAGGTCAATAGTCTGTAACTGCTACATTTAGCAGACTGAAGTGGTCCACTGACCAAAATTTTATTTATTTATTTATGTATACAATATTCTGTCTATATGTATGCCTGAAGGCCAGAAGAGGCCACCAGCCCTCACTACAGATGGTTGTGAGCCACCATGTGGTTGCTGGGAATTGAACTCAGGACCTTTGGAAGAGCAGGCAATGCTCTTAACCACTGAGACATCTCTCCAGCCCCCCACTGACCAAAATTTAAGAGGGAAAGAGATCACAAGGTTTGATTTCCTAGTTATTATTACAATAATGCTGCTTGATCTAAAACTTCTTATCTGACATTCATCTGAAGGTCCTTTTGTTTCTCTAAAAAATATATATTATTTTGTATATATGATGTAAGTACATGAGTGCATGCCACAGGATGCACGTGGATATCAGAGAACAACTATGAATTTATTTTTCTCTGTCCTATCTTTACATGGGTTCCGGGCACTGAAGTCAAACTGCAAGGCTTGCACAACTGAGTCATCTCACTGATTTTTCTGTTTTGTCTTTAAACAGTTCACCACATTGGCACTAGTTTACTGATCTTGCACGTTTAATTTTTTAGATTTATGTTCTTGGTTGATTAGACAACCAACAGGTCTTTGATGTATCTTACCCCTTTCCACTTTCTGGAGAAAAAAATTTGACAACTGTAAATTTTTATTTGTTTTTTGAACGTGTATGTGTACATGCATGTTACATGTAATCTGTGGAGGCAAGAAGTTGACGTTGGGAGTTCTTTTCCATTACTCTCCATTTTATGTACTGAGGCAGGTCTCTTATTTGAACTCTTAACTTGCAGATTCAGCTGATCCAGATGGTCTGCTCCCCTGTCTCTACCTTCCAAGTGTTGGGATTATATACACATGCCACTGTCTTTGACATTTATGTCAGTGCTAGGGCTAGAACTAAGTTCTCATATTGTGGAGCAAGTGCCTTACCCACTGGGCCATCTTGCCAGCCCTCAAATGTTTTTTGCTTTAAAAACTGAACCACTCGCCAGGCGGTGGTGGCGCACGCCTTTAATCCCAGCACTAGGGAGGCAGAGGCAGGCGGATCTCCGTGAGTTCGAGGCCAGCCTGGTCTACAAGAGCTAGTTCCAGGACAGGAACCAAAAACTACAGAGAAACCCTGTCTTGAAAAAATTAAAAACAAAACAAAACAACAACAACAAAAAAACCAAACCAAACCAAAAAAAACCTGAACTACTAGTCATCAGAAAACATAATTCTATCATTAGATATGGTCAAAGAAACCTTACTAAAACCATCACCGTGAGTGTATACATAATTTGTGTCTGTGCATATAGTACACACACACACACACACACACACACTCAGTATCAATAATGGATATATTTATAGTAAATATTGGGGAAGGATATGGCCCTTATACTTCAGAAAACATCATGTTTCCTGGTCTTTCTCTGGCCCCGTCCCGTAAAGATTCCATGTGACCCTGTTCTGAAAATTTGTAGCACTGAGCTGGACCAAAGAAGCATTTCCAGTTTAAATATGTATATGTGAACAAGTTCAAAACTTGAACCCCAAAGATCAACAAACCCAAAGAAGAAAACCTCCATTTTGTCATCCAATCAATTTGCTTTTCAATTTTCTAAGTAAAGAATTAAGTGTGAATAAGTGGATAGTCTTTTTATAATCTATGTCCCAATTATAACTGCTTTTTAAAAAGTTGCCTAAATTATTTTGGACATGGACTTATTAAGAAATCAAATAATGAAGAAGGAAATTAATATATTCTTGGTATGTGAAGGTACCAACGAGAGAGTGCCGTCTGCTGGCTGATCACCAAGCATAGGCAAATAAATACCTGTCCTTTGATCTGACACCTGAAGTAAATTGTCTGCGTTTCTCAGGATGGCATGCAAACTCAGGGATAAAACACAAGGGAGTAAGGTCTAACTTTCTTCTTGTTTTGATTGAAGTAAATGCTCCCATGTTAATATTTAGAATATGCTTAGAAATGTCTGCAGGAGTGAAAGCCCAGCTAGATCAGCACCACTTACCATAACTTCAGTGTTCCTGAGCACGTTCTGATATCCAGCTGGGTGGAGGACAATGCCACTAGGATTGGTATAAACCCCATGGATGTGTAACACACTTAGCTTCCGCTTCTCCTGAGCCCACTCCAGAACCTGCACAATACATACATAGCTTGAAAGGATGGCAAGGCGAGCACCTGCTTCAAAGTCACAATACGTAAGAGGCTGCCTAAGGATTAGACTTCTGACATAACTGTCCAGCTTCACGCTATCATAGGGACAAGAATTCAAAAACTTGATGGGCCCAAGTTCCTATGTTAAGACTGTTAGGAATGATGGCAACTAATCTAGTGATTTCTCTTTGAAAGTAGCTGTCAGCATTTAGAATCTGTCAGCATTTGCAACCCAATACGGATAGTTTCCTCTGGTAATGGTTCAAGCACTGGTACCATTTTCCCATCTCTCCCTCATGGATATCTCTGTGAAGCCCTGGCTGTCCTCAAACTCACAGAGATCCACCTGCTTCTGCCTCCTGAGTGCTGGGATTATAGGTGTGCACTGCTATGCTATACCCAGCTTATTTTCATTCTTCTTTGCTCTTTATTTAACCCAGGCTGGCCTTCAACTTAAAATCCTCTCACCTCAGCATTATGAGTACTAGGATTACAGGAATGCATCCCCACACCTTGTTCAATTCCCAATCTGGGTCCCAGGTCCCAATCAAAATAGTATTCCAGCTACTACCCTAGCAGAGGCAGGTCTGTGGCACTGAGGGAATCATTTATTCAGACTATTTATTTGGGCACTAACTAAGCTGGACAAAAAGGCAGGTTCCAAGGAAACAAAACAATGAAAATGACAAAATCACAGAGCAGGGCAAATGACCATAAAGGAATCATCGCTTCATCAACACCTTTCAAATTTGTGTGTGTGTGTGCGCATGGTGTATGTTGGGGGGGGGTGGTATCATGGCACACATGCAGAGGTCAGAGGAAAACTTGCTGAAGTCGGTTCTCTCCTTCTAGCATGTAGGTCCTGGCAACTGAACTGAGGTCGTTGGGCTTGGTGGTAAGTGCCACTGAGCCATCTCACAGCTCACTCCCATTTGTCTTCTTAAAATTTTGAAATGGGATTTCTCTCTTTGCCTCACTTGCTGGAAACTCCCAAAGTTTGGTTAGATAGCCGACCTGTTGAACCACTGTTCCAGTATCTTCAAATCACTAACCTCATCCTTATGAATGGGCAAAACTGCAATACTCATAACTTTAAAATCTTTGTATTTTATTGTATGTATACTGATTTTACCTAAAAAACCAAACAACCAAAAAGTACAAGCAAGGAAAGCAGCTTTCTTTCTCACTGTTACAGCTTTAACTGGAGATGTCTATCACAGGTTCATGGTTTAAGTGCCGGCCCCCAATTCATGATGCTATTTGGGGGGGGGGGGGGTCTTGCCAGTAAATAGAGCACTAAGGGAGAGCTTTTATGAAGGTTATAACCTGGTCGATTATGGTCCACTCTCTTGCTCTGTTCTGCTATGATGTGAATGGTCTCTACCACATGCTCCAACCACCACAAAAGGGAGCCTCTCCACTGTGCTCTTCTTACTGTGATGCCTAAAGTTCCCTGCACTAGTGAGCTCTAAGAAGCCTTTCCTCCTTTAGCTGGTTTCTGTGGGATATTTTAGTCCTAGCAATGTGAAAGTATTACTGATACTCTTCTGCTACAGAAGGTACATTTTCTGAGGAAGATAAAACCCATTACCCTAAGAGAAGACTACTGGTTAACATTTTACCTTTTTCTCATCAGTAAGGTCAAGGGATTCAAGCTGTTTTCCCTGGTCAGCTGCATAGAGTTCTAGGAGATTATCAAAATTTGTAGTTAATACTAGGGCTCCATTTTCCATCAGATGGAGAACAGACTGAAGGAGCTGTTTTCCCGAATCTTCCATCTTTGACTCCAGGTCATCAAATACTTCATATAAACAGTCTTTGAAAAATGTGGACCGCACATTACTGGTACGCTGCATGTGTGGGAGATTTGAAAAACAAAACAAAACAAAAATTCGTAAGTGCTTTGTTACTTGTTTCAGTTGCAGAAATTATAAATTTTGAATACTTTATAACTTAAAACGTCATCAGCTCACATTGCAATAATGCAAATAGGATGGTACATGCCAAACACAATGTCTAGCAAACAGTAAGTGATCAATACTACCACATCAGACAGAAATGAGCACAAGCCTTTTAGACAGACATTTTGAATCTGGAAAAATGGTCTGGCTGTGGATTCCTGGCTGGCCTAGAATTCAGTTCACTTTGACTAAGCTCGCCTCACATTTTCAATGATCTTCCTGTCTCTGCCTCCCTAGTGCTGGGATTACATGGGTTATCATGCCCACCCAACTTCTAAGTTATCATTTTATAGAAGGCAGAAAATGGACAAGGCTAAGAGATCAGGACTAAAGGATGAGGGTAGAAAGCAAAGTACCAACTACCCTTCAATCAGGCTTCTGATCAGAAGGCAGCACTCAGACCTAAGGTGACTTAGTATTTTCTGCCCCCTTTATTCTTTTAAAGAGTCTGCTTTTTGACAACTTGACACAGGCTAAAGTTATTTGGGAATAGGGACCTCAACTGAATAAAAGGCTTCATCAGACTGCCCACAAGTCTGAAGGGCAGTTTCTTGATTAATGATTGATATGGGAGGGCCCAGCCCTCACTGTGTGTATGGAGTGGGGTGACAACCCTGAGGCGGGTGGTCCTGAGTGGTAAGAAAGCAAGCTACAGCACAGTGGTGCACACCTTTAATCCCAGCACTCAGGGAGCTCTGTGAATTCAAGGCCAGCCTGGTTTTCTACGGAAGAGAATTCCAGGACAGATAGACTATATTGAGACTGTCTCAAAAACAAAAAAAACAAACAAACAAAAAACAAAAACCATCCTGCCAAAAAATGAAAAAAAAACAAACCGAACCAAGCAAACAGAAACAGCAAGCGTGCAGCAGGCTGATAAGGCAATGAGGAGTAAACCAGTGAGTGACACTCCGTCACGACTCTGCTTTAGCTCCTGCCCTGTTCACTCCGTCACGACTCTGCTTTAGTTCCTGCCCTGTTGGAGTTTTTGCCCTGACTTAACCTGGACAACAGACCTCAAGCTGTAAACTGAAATAAACCCTTTTCTTCCCAAGTTACTTTTGGTCATGGTGTTTTCATTATAGACAACACGCAGCTCATGCTAGCTTTGAACTTGTTCCATAGTCAACTGACACTGGTCTCAGACTCATGATCCTCTAGCCTCAGCCTCCAAAGTGCTAGGTTACAGGTATGTATTGCCATATTCAATTTAGCATCTCTTTTTCAATTACAAATACTTGGTTGCTTATGGAGTTAGGAAAACCACTTAATACTTCCTTGTATTGTCTTGCTCTGACCTAATTCAGCAATCTGTTTATAGATTTGCTGTGAAGAATATCTATTAAACGACAAAATTATGAAGAGATTTAAAATAAATTTCACAATTAAAATCTTGGCATTTTGCAATTGTTTTAACAGGGCTGGGGATAAAACCTACAGCTTTGGACATGCGTGACTGGACTATATCCATAGCTATCAATTACTAAAAATACTAAACCCAGGGACTGAAGAGATGCCTCCAAGGTTAAGCTTGTGTTCTACTATTGCAGAGGATCTAAGTTTGGTTCCTGGTACCCAGACCAGGTGGCTCAAACTGCTACCTGTAGCTCTAGCTCCAAAGGATTCAGCACCTTCTGGACTACCCAGGCATTTTCACTCACTCATACACACACCCACATATACATAATTAAAAATAAAATTAACCAGGTTAGAGAGATAGCTAGTTGGCTAAGAGCACTTGTTGCTTTTCCAGAGGACCTGAGTTCAGTTCCCAGCAGCCACATTGGGTAGCTTACAACCACCTGTAACTCTACCTCTAGAGGATCTGATTACCTCTTCTGGTCTTTGCTGACAATAGGAACACATGTGGCGCATATACATACAAACAGGCAAAACACACACAAAAATAAGTAAAACTAAAAAAAAAAATTAAAAAAGAAAAGAAAAGAGGGGCTGGAGAGATGGCTCAGCAGTTAAGAGCACTGGCTGTTCTTCCATAGGACCAGGTTAAATTCCCAGCACCCACATGGGCAGCTCACAACTGTCTGTAACTCTAGTTCCAGGGGATCTGATACTCTCATACAGACATACATGTAGGCCAAACACCAATGCACATAAAAATAAATAAAACTAAAAAAGGTTTTGGGGTTTTTTTTTGTTTTCTTTTTATAAAAAAGAAAACCAGGTGCAGTGCCACACACTTTTAATTCCACTATTTGAGTCAGAGGCAGGCAAATCTCTCTGAGTTTTAAGTCAGAATGGTCTAATAGTGAGTTCTAGGACAGCCAGGGCTTTATACAGCAACCCTTTCTATAACAAACGAAAAAAAAGAAGAAAAGAAAGAACAGTAATAATTACTAACCACTAATGAATTTGAAATAAACCATTTAAACATTTGGTTTAACTACCTCTCTGGCTTCATGTGGAATATATGCATAAATAGATTTTGTGCTGCATAACAACTGCACATTTATAGTTGGTCCTGTACTATATCATCTAAGTAGTAATCTTGATTTGAACAAGTACACTCTACCAGATTTTCTTTTTTGTTGCTGTTATTTTGTTTTGTTTTTGTTTTTCGAGACAGTGTTTCTCTGTACCTTTGAAGCCTATCCTAGAACTTGCTCTGTAGCCCAGGCTGGCCTCAAACTCACAGAGTCTGTCTGTGCTGGGAATGAAGATGTGTGCCACCACTGCCCAGGCACTCTACAAGTTTGTACAGCAGCAAAACAGCGTAAGAATGTGTTTCTCAGCATGTACCCACTGTTAAACAATGAATGAGCATATTTCTGAGGATGGAGGAAATACAATGCCACTCTAAGGTGAGAAGTTGATTTTACAACCAAGAACACAGTAACTCCTGGGACAAAAGAAATCTGAAATGGGAAAGTAATTAGGTGAAGTGTTTTAACAAACACGGATCCCTAGTCTATTCTTGATGTTATTCCATTAGATGAGCTCAGAGGAAGAACTGCTACACTGCTCAAGCTGCCCTTGAACTTCTATACTCAAATGACCTTCCTTCCTCAGCATCCAGAGAAGCTAGAGCTCCTGGTGCAAGAGATGAGTTGCTGCATCTAGCTACCAGGGCATAGATTTCAAGCTCCTTGGAATAGAGAGTTCCTTCTAGGTTCCCTCAAAGCAGCCCTCTACACCTTCCAGGTTTCCTTGTCTCACAGGAGTGAACCATTTAAGCAGATACAGGACATTCAGTGTTCCTTTCCTACTGTGACACAGTATTTTATAAAATAACCTTTTTTCAGAATACTTACTAAGTAAGGGTTATTTTCTCAGTGAAAACAGAGCACAGTTAAAATTGTCCCTCAGTCTGCTGGAAACAAGCCATTCCTCTGGGCTCTGTTCATCATGGTTCTATGCAGCTCTATAGGACAGCACAGAGTTCTTTCTGCCACCTGCTGTCAGCAGCTGCAAGATTCTTTTCTAGTGTGTAAACAGATCTAGAACTCATTTAGCTAAGAATGCAGGTCATGGTCTTAAAAGTTTACCTAGCTTCGTACACAATCACATAATTATATCACACTAATGGCGCAAGGCAGTCAACAGGAGACTCTAATACTACTTAATTAGATGAGTAACCCAATCAAAAACAGAGAAAGGAGGCTGAAGAAGAGATGGCTCAGTTATTAAGAGCACTTGCTGTTCTTATAGAGGATGCAGGTTAGATTTCCAGCATCCAAATGGCTCACAATCATGTGTAATTCCAGTTCCAAGGGATTTGAGAGCCTCTTATGGTTTCCACAGGTCCTAGTCACACACAAAGTATGCATACATACAATCAAGCAAAACTCATATAAAATTAAAAATAAAAATCTATCACCTACTAAAACAGTGATGAGTATTAACTCTAGTTACTAAGTTCACGACACACAGCAGTCAACTACTATAAATGTTAGCACTAGATTTACTATTAAAGAAACATGATGCCCCCTTAGTTTATCAAACTCACAAGTCTATTCACCCAACCCAACATGCTGCAGCTATTTTATTTCTTGGATGGAATCCTGCAAATATAACTGCAACTGGATAAAATGACATACACAAGGCTATCACTGCTTTGTTATCTTCAATAGCAACAGACTACGCACCCATATACATGGAAGACTGGTTTGGTCCAGGACCATATCTTATCATTGAATGTATCCCAAAAGTCCAAAGTATTAAAGGCATGAGAACATGGGTTGTTCCGTTAAGAAATTATAGAACCAAGTGAAAAATCTTTAGAGTCATTGGGGGCATATTCTAGGAAGGTGAGTCTGGGGCCCCAGCCCTTCCCTTTAACTTTTTAATTTTTTAAGTATTTTTGTTATACTACATGCTCCTGTCATGAGGTACTGCCTCACCACAAGTGCAAAGTAGTTGGAAAAACTGACCATAAAGTGAACCTCCTCCTTTCTTTTCTTTTATAAGGCAATTAGGTATTTTGCTATAGTGACAACACTGACTTACCCTCTATACAGGAGAGCAATGCACTGCTAGGTAAACAAACTAGAGGATAGTTATGCACTATTTTTTTTTTATTTTGGAGATGGCAGCAGTGAGGGAAGGATAGATATGTTGCTGCTTACATTTGCAAAGCTGGGAGGCTACCTAGAAATACATACGAATGCTGACTTAGGGCAGAGAGGAAATGAGACACCAACAAGAGCAAGATATCTCAGTAGATATAAAGAACTACATCCTTTTGATTTTTGCAATGTGTATACCAATACTTCTTCAAAAAATCAGAATTAATCCAGGTGGTGGTAGCACATGCCTTTAATCCTAGCACTCCGGAGGCAGAGGCAGAGGCAGGCAGATCTCTGAGTTTGAGACTAGCTTGGTCCACAGAGTGAGCTGTTTCAGGACAGTCAGGGCTACACAGAGAAACACCATCTCCACACACACACACAAAGCAAAATTAAGTTTCAGATTAATAAATATAGTGACTCCTTACTAAAAAGATTTTGTTGTGTTTTCTAACTTTGTAACTCCGATGTGTACTTAGCTCCTTGATACTTACAATCACACATGCTATATTCCTACACCGGTCTGCTTACCATGAACACAAGTAGAAGGGCCTAGGTAGACCATGAGCTAGACATGGGTGAAGAACATGAGGTTTTTTTTTTTTTCTATGAAAAGACTAAAACTTGGAAATCCCTTGAGTCACTTGTTTTAGCTAAATATCTTTTAGTTCCAGTTCTGTGAATTATTAAATCTTCTATAACAATATGGAAGACTGCTGCTTCGAGATGTGGCTTCACTACCTAACCCAGATTAGTACTGAGATGTGATCTCTAGCTTCTCAATGCTTGAATTACAGGTGGTAGCCACCACTCTGTGCTTGGAAAGATGCTTTTGTCATTGTGTTGATTTCCTTAGATTTGAAATCTGTTTTTGTCCGAGAACTAAATTTCCCACCAGTGGCCTCTCTAAGCTGAGACAAAGGAATGAAAACATAAACAGGGAGTTCGGAAGTCAAAAGGAAATGCCAGACTCCCACACAACCTCTAAGAATTTTCCTCCTTCACTTAAAACAGTGCAGTGAATCCCAAGCTACTTCATCTGTTTTACCCTGTAACTCATCCTTCCAGTCCCACACAGAGTAAAGGGAAACGCAAGCACCCTTGGTCACCTCTCTCCAAGTCACTGACATTTCTACCGCATTTACTTTGAGCACTCATTTAACTGAAGTAAAACTGATGTTTGATGAAAAAAGGTGGCTAGGCTGCTCCACCCTTCCAACACTCAAGCCTTGCTAGTGCCATTTATTCTTCATAAAACCCCATGAAGGGGGCTGGAGAGATGGCTCAGTGGTTAAGAGTACTGACTGCTCTTCCAGAGGACCCGGGTTCAATTCCCAGCACCCACATGGCAGCTCACAACTGTCTGAAGATCCAGTTGCAGGGGATCTGAAACCTTCACACCAATAAACAATTAAAAAAAAAAACCCATGAAGTAAGTAATACCACAAGTTGTTGGAACTCACCGAGAAGCTCATTCTGGGAGTGGGGTCTTCCCTATTTCAGACACTTGTTTCAAACTGCCCTCCAAGATCTGGGCTAGGCAGGCTCACTTCCGTTATTTTGTGATGGTGAAGAGAACAGTAAAAGAGCCCAAGAATAAAACACCGTGCCCTTGAAATGAGCTGTCATAAGCCTCTTCTAACAGAAGTTACTACTGTTTATCCCTTGCTATAAGAGCATCTGCAGGGGAAAAGAGAAGCTCAAGTCCAGAAGTTCAGCCATGGAAAGAAAGCTCAGCTGTTAAGCATTTGTTGGATTTAATGTTTTCTTTGATCAATAAGTCTATTTCCTCTACAGTATCTTCAACACCTGAGATTCTTCTATCTCTTGTATTCTGTTGGTTATACTTACCTCTGTAGTTTCTGTTCGTTTACCCACATTTTCCATACCCAGAATTCCCTAAGTTTGTGTTGTCTTTATTGCCTCTGTATCAGTCTTCAAGTCTTGAACTGTGTTTTACCTGTTTGATTGTTTTTTTTTTCTTGGTTTTCTTGAGTTTCTTTGAGGGATTTATTAATTTCTTCTAATTTTTTTGTTTGTCTTTTCCTCAATTTCTTTCTTTCTTTTTTTTTTTTTTTTTTTGGTTTTTTTCGAGACAGGGTTTCTCTGTGGCTTTGGAGCCTGTCCTCTATTTCTTTAAGGGAGCTTTTCATTTTCTCTTTAAAGGTCTCTGTTATTTTCATAAAGTTATGTTTAAAGTTGTTTTCTTCTTCTGGGTTCCCTCCTAATTTGGTGGTGGTGGGATTGAGACAGGGTTTCTCTGTGTAACAGCTCTAGCTGTCCTGGAACTCAATTTGTTGACCAGGCAAACTCAGAGATCCACCTGTCTCTGCCTCCTGAGTGTTGGGATTAAAGGTATGTGCCACCACTGCCCAGCTCCCTCCTAAGTTTTTAAAGATTTATTTTTATTTGTGGCACATGCATCTATGTATATTATGTGCACATGTATGTGATTGCCTGAAGAGTCCATAAGAGGGCAAAGATCCTTTGGAACTGGAGGTTGTCTAACATGTGTTCTAGAAACTGACTTGAGGTTTTGCAAGAGTAGCAAGCATTTTAACCACTGAACCATCTCTCTAGCCTCCTTTCTATTGTTTTTTGGTTTTTGTCTTTTGAACAGGGTTTCTTTGTGTAACAGTTGTAGCTCTCCTGAAACTAGCTCTGTAGACCAGGCTGGCCTTGAACTCAAAGAGATACATCTGCCTCTGCCTCCTGAGTGCCAGGATTAAAGGCGTTAGCTTTTTTTTTTTTTTAAAGATTTATTTATTGGGGCTGGAGAGATGGCTCGGTGGTTAAGAGCATTGCCTGCTCTTCCAAAGATCCTGAGTTCAATTCCCAGCAACCACATGGTGGCTCACAACCATCTGTAATGAGGTCTGGTGCCCTCTTCTGGCCTGAAGACATACACACAGACAGAATATTGTATACATAACAAATAAATAAATAAATATTTTAAAAAAAGATTTATTTATTATATATACAATGTTCTGCCTGAATGTCAGACAAGGGCATCATATCTCATTATAGATTGTTGTGAGTCACGATGTGGTTGCTGGGAATTGAACTCAGGTCCTCTGGAAGAGCAGTCAGTGCTCTTAACCTCTGAGCCATCTCTCCAGTCCCTATACCTGGATTCTTATTAGCCCGCTGTATCTATTATTCTTGGGAGAAATGTCTACTCAAGCCTATTGTCCTCCTAAAAGAAGATCATTCTGTTTGTGATAAAATCACTGTCAAACTCTGTTTTGTTTTCTTGGAAGAATTTTTAAATTTTACCTCTGATAATTAGATTTGGGATACATTTTGAAGTAATTTTACATACTGAATAAAGACCTCATGGGCTAGAGAAATGGCCCAGTGGTTAACAACACTGGCTGTTCTTCCCAAACACCTGGATTTGGTCCCCAGCAACCACATAGTGGTTCACAACCATTTATAACTCTAGTCCCAGGGGATCCAACTCCTTCTTCTGGCTTCTGAAGGCACTGAACATACAAAGTACACATATACATACAAGCAAACAAAACACCCATACACACACACACACACACACACACACACACACACAATGATAAAGGTGTGTGCTACCACCTTGGGCACAGCACTGGAATTAAAAAAAACCTCATGAACTCTTTTTCTGTTTGTTTGTTTGTTTGTTTTGTTTTTTTGAGATGGGGTTTCTCTGTGTAGCCTTTGCTGTCCTAGAACGACTCCGTAGACCAGGCTGGCTTCGAACTCAGAGATTCATTTGCCTCTGCTTCCTAAGTGCTGGGATTAAAGGCGTGGGACACCACTACCTGGCGTGTGTGTGTGTGTGTGTGTGTGTGTGTGTGTTTTAATTTAGGTTTTTGTTTTTTTTTTTTTTAAGTTAAATTAGTCTAAGATGGTCTCAAACTCTCCATTACTCTAAACTGGCTTCAAACGTAGCAATTCTCCTGCCTCAGTCTCCTAGTGTGGGAAGTATAGGCATGCACTACTTATATCTGATTTCTTTAAAACCCATTAATTCTTTATGTGGTTTTAAGTTAGTAACAGTTTGTTCCAGTTAAGGACAAGGAACTGAAAAGAGGAAGTAAGAAATCCTAAGGTCTATGGTAAGTTTTAGGCACATTTCTTTCTACAGTCTTGAGAAAAGGGATAAAAATTACTGACAGTTAACTTTTAAGGGGTAAGTGTCCTATTTCTTCCGAAGTGTATTTAAATTATTAAAATGTGGAACATGTGGGCTCAAGTACAGGCTTGTGGTTCCATTCCAAGCAACACACAGCCTGTAATTCAGCACTTGAGAGGTGGCGACTGTAGAATCAGGCATTCTAACCCATCCTTGTCTTCACAGTGAGCTTTAGGCTGACCTTGGCTACATGGGACTGTTTCAAGTAACATACAGTACCAATAGTTCTAGCATAAGTGAATCCTAATTTTCAAGTAATTTTTCAGGTAAAGCAAGAAAGACAATTAGGTTCTTTATCCAACTTAGTTGAATAAAATTCTTTGTGACTATTTTGAGTTACAGCCTCTAAAAAGAACACTAAAAACTGGTTTCATTTTATCCCTCTGATGATAAAGAATTATCTGCAGCTGGGCAAGGGGTGCATGCCTATGTTAGCACCCAGGAAACTGAAGCAGGAGGACTTCAAGTTTGTGGCCAGCATGGGATACACAAGATGCTTTCTCAAAACACAAAAACAAAACCCCAACTTAAATCTTTCTAATATTTCCTTAAAGTCATGGATATAAGGGCACTTTTTATAATGAGCATAGAAAAGTCAATTTGCCGGGCAGTGGTGGCGCACGCCTTTAATCCCAGCAGTCAGGAGGCAGAGGCATGTGGATTTCTGTGAGTTCGAGACCAGCCTAGTCTACAAGAGCTAGTTCCAGGACAGGCTCCAAAGCTACAGAGTAACCCTGTCTTGAAAACAAACAAACAAACAAAAAAGTAAATTCACAAACAGAATGAAATGGGCTCAGGATAATTACCCTGAACAGGCTCTATAGATACTTCACAGGTTATAAATACCCAAGCACTATACAAATATTCCTGCTTGAGTAAGAAACTAATCCTATTATGAGGAAATTTCACAGGCCATGGCATACAGCAGACTACTCACGGGGGAGAGTTTCTGAATGAGGTCATGGGCAACATGGACAAGGTTCTTGTCTTCATGGAGACACTTTTGAAACTTTTTGCTTTCCTCGTCTTCCAGAAGATCAAAATCAATAGCAGCATCCAGCAAGGCCTGAATTAACCCCTTCCAGGATTTCAGGGCTGGGACCTGTGGTGCAACTGCAGCGCTAATGCCTGTGCCAATCACCAGCACGAGTTCTCGAGGTTTCTTGGTTTTCAAGCTTGGAAGCAGCTTCCTGAAAAGGAAAAGGCACAAAAAGATTGGAGCATCCAGCAGACAAAGCACACAAGCCAAGATGCCTGACAGAGATGTAGCTGGCTCTCATTATTCAACAACTCAACTTGTTGTTTGCTTTGTTCTGTGAGACAGGGTCTCACTGTGCAGTCTTAGCTAGCCTACAACTCACTATGTAGACCAGGCTGTCCTTGAACTCAAGACATCAGTTTGCCTCTGCCTCCCTACTGCTGGGATTAAAAGCATGCACTTACTAAGTTTTAGTTGTAAAACCGAGGATTCCAATTTCTGACACTTTTCCAAAGTAGATGAAATGAAACACCATAATATTATTCCAAGTTCTTGTAGGAAGACAAAGCAGTAGCTATTTCAGGAATCCTGAGATATAATCTTAAAATCAACTTTCTCCTCCATAGTCATCTCTAGCTAAGAAAACCACTAACATTACAGCAGGTTCAAATGTATTACAGCTGAAGTTCTGCCAACTAAATTATTCTTTAAGCCAATGGTAATTTCAAAAGGACACGTTTGATTTGTTTTCAAAAAGAAAATATTTTCATACAAATTAAGTTGATATTGTTTGTTGAGATATGAATGTAAAACAAGAAAGGCAATAAAAAACTTGATTCCAGATTTTATAAGCAAACATAAAACTCAGCATGAAAGCCAAATCCAGCGGACAAATCTGCATGGTTTGGTTCTAGACATCACTGGTTTAAAAAAAAAAAAAGTGTTCAGCAGGCCTCATGTTTTTGTCACAACAAAATAGCCCGTTCTCATGGCAGTGAGCAGAGTCCTGCTGAGAGACAGCATGTTTCAGCTCCCTTTCCCCTCTCACTCTACAGCTACATTAAAATCATTACTTACCTTACCCTTCTTTTTCAAAATAGTACAATGAATAGAAACATGACCAGCACTTAGACAAAACCCAACAAAGACACACTTTGAAGTCCTGGGAAACAACCTCTAGAACTGCCTGTCCTACTCCAATCTCTACACTCAATGACTTAACAAATAGGAAAACCTGCAAACATGCAGAGACGAGAGATGGCCCATTTATAAAATAGCTCATATGCTGGGGGTAACCAACAAAACTGTTCACAGCTATTAGAGACACATAATGGAGTACGCTATAAAAAGGAGAATCAAGATAATGAATGAAAATTGGATGTGATAACCAAGGCTGTACACAGCTATTAGAGACACATAATGGAGTACGCTTTAAAAAGGAGAATCAAGATAATGAATGAAAATTGAATGTGATAACGAAGGTCTATAATCCCAGAATTTGGGAGGGAGAGACAGGAGGATTGGAAATTTAAGGTCAGTTATAAAAATGCACACACCCATACAATACTTTCACAAAAGGGCTTTCAGTAAAAAAGAAAAAAAGTCGCAGTTGTGTTTTATGATTTCTGCCTAAATCACTAAATAACCTAAAAAATCCCCAACATATTTATTTAGTGTGTGTGTGTGTGTGTGTGTAGGAGACGGGACAGCCATGGTGTGTGTGGGGACAGCCATGGTGTGTGTGGAGGTTAGAGGACAACTTTGGGTGTTGTGTCTCTCTTCCCACCATGTTGACGCAGGGACCAAACTCAGGATACCAGGGTTAGCATCATCTGCAGAGCCATGACAATGGCCCTAATAGTTATTTTTAAAGACAGAATTAAGGCAAGATAAAAAGGGAAAATCAAGGGGACATGGGAAGGGAAAAAGCCTTTCACTGAAGAATCTGGCTGGGTGTCAGAAACTTGGTCACAAATGACAAAGACAAGATTCTCTATAGACACAATATTCTCTTTTCTAAGAGGTATGTCAAATGAGGATGTTAAAACAACAAATGAAACTATATACTTGAGATTAGGTTTGTCATCTTGACTTTAGATAGTAATAATACCCAAATATCAACAAAATACCTTATAAAACTACCTTACAAACTCATTTGTAAAAGGAAGCTCAATAAGAAGAAAAATAAGAAAACCAGCTCAATTTAATGTGTGTGTGTGTGTGTGTGTGTGTGTGTGTGCATGCTTTTAAGACAGTGTCTCAAATGACCTGGGAGTCCTTAAATTCTTGATCCTCCTGCCTCCATCTCACAAATGTGAGAATTACAGGCATACACCACCTTACTCAGCTCAAACTTTACTAATTTTTAAATTTTAAGTAATCTTTAACTGCTGGTATAAATTATACTGAGAAATTTAACATAAAAAAGCCATAGACTCATATGAACAGCCATTGTAAAGACAATTCTCAAGCAGCTTACACTGAGCAAGTACTATCCTTTCCCTAAAAGCAGCCCCCTCCCACAAGTCTCCAAAGTAAATGAAAATTATGTACCTACTACCCCTTGTCTTAATAAGATCAACAGCTTTGCTTGTACCGAGATTCTTTGCTGCTGCTTTCTTTTCCTGTACAGAGGTCTCTAAAGTGTAACTCCTTGGGCTGTTGGCAGAGGTGCTGGGCTGGAATACCCTGCCACAGCACGTATAAAAAGTAGGGTAGAACAAGATGACAGCAGCAAGCAGACAACAGACATCAGAAGGCAGCATGATTTTAGAAGTTCAGAATAAAACCCAATTCCCTTCGCAGAAGCTCAGCAATGTTGAGGCATATGCTCAGGTGGGCAGGCAGGTTGCACTAAAACTCAGCTGTAAGTCTGGAGAAAGTCAGCCAGAGGACGCTGCATTTGAGAACACTGTGTACAGTGCCAGGTGGGAGGGATTAAGGAAGAATCTCCGTAGGAAATCTAAGACTTCCCCAACCAGTCTCCCAGTCTCTAGGATTCAACCTTTTCTCTGCACCCAGTCTCCATGCATGTAAGAGATGGGAAGATTTCTCTCTGTGGAAATTGCCATATGACAGAGAAGGCCTCAACTGCCGAACTTGCTCCAGGATTCATATTCAGAGGGAAACTCCTCAGCATGTTGGGATGATGAATACTGGTTCCCAATTTGACAGAATCTGCTGGAATCAACTAAAAGAAAAATCCCTGGGCAAATCTGTAAGGAATCTGCTTGATCAGATTATTCAAAGTGGGAACATATACCCGAAATGAAATGTACCTAATGGCAGCCAGGTTAAAAAAAAAAAAAGGTGAGCATTGCCCTCCCAGCCTGCTAACAGGTGCATTTACCCCGTCCATGCTTCAGTTCTTCACCTCCTTCTGTCCTTCAATGTGAACTGAAGACCAGTGTTTCCAGGGATCGAGTCCTTAGGCCTTCAACACCAGACTGGGGCTGCTGAGAAGCTACGGGAGTCTCAGTCCCTCCAATGTGAGTTGAACCACTGTTGGACTACTCAGACTACACCATGCAAGCCAATCTAATAACCCCATTAAATAAGTATTCATCCTGTCAGTTCTAGTCCTCTAGAGCAGTGGTTCTTAATATGTGGGCTGTGACTGACTCCTCTGGGGGTTTTATAACCCTTTCACAGGGGTCACATATCACATGTCCTGCATATCAGATAATTACATTATGATTCATAACAGTAGCAAAATTAGTTTTGAAGTAACAATAAAAATAATTTTATAGTTGGGGAACACAAGGAACTGTATTAAAGGGTCCCAGCATTAGTAAGGTGGAGAATCACTGATCTAGAGAACCCTGACTAATATCCATACTCACATAGACTCCTAACTGCTTCTCAGTAACTTAAATATGAATGGACAAACTATATAGTCACTTTACATCTGCAAAAGGCCCACATAAGCCAGGCGGTGGTGGCGCATACCTTTAATTCCTGCACTTGGGAGGCAGAGATAGGTGGATCTCTGTGAGTTCAAGAGCTAGTTTCAGGACGAATCCAAAACTACAGAGAAACTCTGTCTCGAAAAACCGAAAAAAAAAAAAAAAAAGGCCCCCATGATAAGAGGTACAGAGGTACGTATAAACAAGCTAGCAGGTAGTCAGGAGGCTAAGGTTGCAAGGTCACACTTGTAAGACAGCCCGACACCCTGTCTTCAAAAGGACAAAAACAGTAACAATAACAAAATTGAAGAAAATTAAAAATGTAACCGCAATTTTTAGAAATCCCTAAGAAAAACTGAGAAAAACCTTTAATAAAGTAGAACTGAAACAAAGAACAGGAAAAAACAGAGCCAGGCAGAGGTGCATGCTGGTAATCCAAGAACTCAGGAGGCTGATGCAGGAGGATAGAGCTGGAGCTCAGGATGGGTTACCCACAAAGACCTTGGCACCAAATAGTGAGAGATGGGGTGGGGTGGAGAGAAAACATGAACACACAATGACAGACGGTTCAACATCTGAACAACAAAAGCTCCACAGACACAGAAATGTTTAATATCAGCTTAACACAAGATAATTACTTCAAAATGAAGTTATCACGAAGTAGCTTGAAGGTACCATACTATTTAGTTTGCCAGATATGGTATTGCACAACTTTCTGCGTTCCTGAGAATAATCTATTTTTGTAAGATTCTAGTAAGCAAAGGCAAAAGATCACACAATACAAAAACGGTTGTTTTGATTTGGGACCAAACACTCTCTGGTCAAGTTCAACTGCAAAAGGTTTGGTTCCCAAGGCAAGTGTTCAGAGCTGGGGTTTTGGAAAAGTAACTGGATCAACTTATCACCGGGTTAATCCACTGGTGGGTTCAGAATGTGAAAGCATTTCTGACTGGTAGAGACTCTCAGTCACTAAAGATGTGACCTGAAAGAATGCTATCTTGTGTCTGGACCCTTCCCTCGTGGCTCTCTGATTCCCAGCAGGCAGAAGGTAGGCCACTCTGTTCTACACGTTCTTGAATGGCATTCTACCTCACGATAGCCTTAAGAGCAATGGAGTCAACAGACCATAGGCCAAAAATCTCTCAAATTTTGGCCAAATCACCATTTCCTCTTTCAAATTTATTTCTAAAACAACTGCTAATCAGAACAGAGTGTCTATCTTGGTAAGAACACTTTTCTCTCTTACCAGAGAAATGAGTGGTACCATCAAAATTCTAAGAAAAAAAATGTTTCATACCTAAAATTCTATTCTCAGCCAAACCATTAAATAAATGTAAAGAAATGATAAGGCCATTTAGTATCTCCAACAATTACTCCTATGCATTCTTACTAAGGAAGGCACCTGAGAGCATGCTTCAGTAAAATGAGTACATTAAAATCAAAATTTTAATGAGTACATTAAAATCCTAGTCCAGGAGTAAGAATCCACAGAATCAATCAGCATATGATTAATTCTCTTTTTAGCTTCTAAAGATGAAAATGACATAGAAAATAAAAAACCCAAGACACACTTTAGTAATATGGAAGTTTAAAAAAAGTCACAAAAGGGAATAAAATTCTAACACTTTAGGCTTGGCTATTAATATTATTTATGTTTGTTTTGTGTTTCGAAGCTCTGGCTGTCTTGGATCTTGCCACTAGACTAGGCTGGCATTGAACTCAGAGATCCACCTGCCTCTGCTTCTGTCTCCTGAGTGTTGGAATTAAACCACCCAGTTTACTAATACTATGTAAATATTGAGAACTGGTTGATCAAGTAGAGAGATAAACATGAGAAGATAAGGGTTAAGCCGGTAGGGCAGCAATACACGGGGAGGAACCAGGAAAGCAAACAGAGTCCTTATCTGTTACATGTGTTGCTTGTAGCAGAACACAGCATTTAAAATGTGTGCTGTCAGGTGCATGCCTGCAAACTCCGCATCTGGGAGGCTAAGACAAGAGTTCTAGACCAGCCTCGGTTACATATCAAGACCCTGTCTCACAATCAAAAACAAAACAAAACAGATGTCAAGGTTAGAAAAAAACAGGAAACTATTATCTCTGCTGAGCAGGACATTTTAACCTTTAAAGTAACAAATTTTAAAATTATGTATTAGCTTAATAAAAAAATTAAGTCCAATGTAAAAATAATTTAGTCTTTAAATGAAGGCTATATTAGTCAGTGAAATCCCCAATAGTTCAGGGTAAGTACCTCCTACTAATGGTAATTTTCTGTTCCTTTGATTCCCTTTCTCTTGTTTACCTGGGCTTTTTGGTGGGAGGTTCGCCATCATTGAAGAATCCAAAAATCTTGTCTATATCAGAGGCCTGGCTCCCTGTAGAAGCCATCCAGTTTCTAAAACAGATTAAACATCATGTACCATGATTAGATCTGTAAAGTACACCATTTATAACAGAACATACATTAAGCATTTTCGTAAGTCATATGCTCATTAAGGTATTGAGGGGTATCCTCTACTTAACAGAAACCCATTTATTAATGAGCACACCATGCTTAAGAAATGAAATTAGTCTAAGGGAAATAGTCTTGACATTATAACTCATTGATAAGTGCTCCATACTGCTCCATATGGCTTCTGTTCCTCAGAATCCCTTGCTCCCCCTCTCCCACTAAAATCCAGCCATGTCAACTCATGTAAGTCACTGGCCATCACTCTGTACAACTTACTGCAGAGGACTTGGGAATCACTGAGGACATCAGACAACCCAGAGATCAGTATGCTAATAGTGCTTAATCATCCATTACACTCAGCAATACAAGCAGTACCATTTGTTCACTGTCAGACATTCTTCGTTAGCAACTGTCCCCACAGGCTGAAGACAGGTCTCTCTGACTAAACTAATCACAACTCACTGTGATTAATGGAAGGGGTATTAAGCAAAGATATGTAAAGACAATGAACATCAGTTGCTGGGATACCCAGCATAAGAGTCACTACAGATTAGAGTAAAAACTACCACGGATTCTAATTGCTCAAAACTTTAAATGGTGACATTTAAAGATTGATATTAGCAACTTTTCTTTTGTTTTTTGAGACAGGGTTTCTCTGTGTAACAGCCCTGTCTGTCCTGGAACTCACTTTGTAGACCAGGCTGCCTTGAATTAGAGATCCACCTGCCTCTATCTTCCAGGTGCTGGGATTAAAGGCGTGCACCACCACCTGGATTTTTTTTTTAAAGTTGTGTGCTTTTGTGTGTGAGTATGCATATGTTGGTGTATCTCAGCATGTGTGAGGAGGTCAGAGGACAACTTTCAGGATCTGGTCTCTTCTTTCACCATGCGTGTCCGAGGGATCAAACTCAGACAGTCAGTCTTGGCAGCGAGCAGCTGTACCTGTTGAGCCATCCCACTAGCTCACAAGTAATATTTTAACATTGACAATGTGGGAGATGATAGAGTTCTGGACATGCTACTATGCCCTACTGTTACTGGGACTTTATATTAGAAAAACTCCTTATTTATTAAAGTCATGTGTAGAATTTTTCTTGTAAACAGAAGCCCCAGTTCCTTGCCTCATATTCCATTCCACATAATGAACTTCTCATTGATACAGTCATCAGGACACTAGGAGTCATAAAATCACAAAAGTTTGGACGGATTACCTTTCTGGTAAAATCTTTGATTGTGTCACGAGAAAGCAAGGCCTTGGGCACACAGGTCAAACACCAAAGCTAGAAATCATGCCTTTACATAATCATCTGGTGTGACAGTTAAAAGGATACTGTAAATTCCTAAAAATAAAGTCAACCCAAAACAAAAGTACATGTTTTCTAAAAAACAGACTCTCTGGGGACTTCTTCCAGTATTTCAAGTAGGAAACAGCTAAATAAAGTCAAACGTAATTTTTCTAGACCCCAACACTGTGAATGTTGGGCACACAGCAGGCACACCACTGTAGTGATATGTAAAGTAAAGCCTTTCTTTATGTCTGGCTTTGAGTGGAACGCTTCAGAAAGCCTCGCTATGTTTGGGTTAGTCAGCAGAGGCTGAGTCTGCACTTGGTGCTGCTGCATGACAGTCTGCAGCTGCACCAACCTTGGTCCTAAGACACTCCTGGCAGCCCTGGAGTTCTTACTTTTGATTATGTCTCGCCATAGTCAAAAGGCAATGAGATTTGTGTGGGTTGTCTGCTCTCACGGGCAGCAAGAGCAAGATGACTTTGGTAGTTGGAACCTTTCCCAGCCCCTATTAACTTCGTATATTTTTGAATAAAGTAACTGAAGTGAGCTGGCTGGGTGTCAGTCCTTCGGAAGCTTAGCATTTTGGTGAGCTTCTCTCTCTACTGAGATATCTATTCTCTTAAGTGTGCGTTTCATTTCTTAGAGTCTAAAATTGCTGATAGTCAAGAGTTGACCATCACTGAAATGATTTTCATCAAATTCTAACATATTATAAAAGACATTTTCTCTCTAACATTAATGTTTTATGGAGAACCAGTGATTTAAAAAGTGGTTATATCTTTCACACATACCACAATCTCTCACTTTGGGTATATGATTTAAAACAACACTAAAGAAGGCAAACATATTAATGCCCCACTCCCATAAACATGGTTCTGTAGACCCATCATTTAAACAAATTAAACCCAGCCAGGTGCAGTGGCATACACCCTTAACCACAGCACCCAGGAGGCAGAGTCAGGCAGATCTCTGAAACCAGGCAGCCTGGTCTACTAAGCGAGATCTAAGACATCTAGGGTTACACAGATAAACCCCATTTGAACCCCCCCACCCCCACCAAAACCAAACCAAAACAACAAAAAAATTAAACACACAGAAAAACATGAAGTAAATGGAATTTAACATACGTTTTGAAGCCTGGAATAGTCAGAACTTAGTGCTCAATTCAAATACTAACCCAGTTTTGTTTAAAAATTAAAGAAAAAAAAAAGGCCAGGTGGCAGTGGTGCACACCTTTAATCCCAGCACTCCAGAGGCAGAGGCAGAGGCAGGCAGAGTTTGAGGCCAGCCTGTTCTACAGAGTGAGTTCCTGAACAGTCAGTGCTACACAGAAAAACCTTGTCTCAAAAAACTCGAGACAGGGCTGGAGAGATGGCTCAGAGAGGTTAGGAGCACTGACTGCTCTTCCAGAGGTCCTGAGTTCAATTCCCAGCAACCACATGGTGGCTCACAGCCATCTGTAATGAGATCTGGTGCCCTCTTCTGGCCAGCAAGCATACAGACAGACAGAACACTGTATACATAATATATAAATCTTTAAAAAAAAAAAAACTTGAGTCAAAACAAAACCAAAAGCAAAATTAAAAACTGCTGGGCAGTAGTGGGCATAGCACTCAGGAGGCAAAGACAGACAGAGCTCTGAGTTTGAGGCCAGTGTGGCCTACAGAAAGAGTCCCAGGGCACTCAGGGCCACACAGAGAAACTTTGTCTTAAAAAACCAAAATAGCAACAAAACCAAATTCAAAACAAAACAAAACAAAACATACTACTTATCATAGGCCATGTAAAATTTATAAATATTAGCTCACTTAATTCCTACAACTTTATTATTAGGTATTATAGATTGAATATCTGTTACCTGAAAATCCAAAATGTTCTAAAATCTAAAACATCTGGACCACTGACAAAATGCCATCAAGTGGGGGCTGGAGAGATGGCTCAGAGGTTAAGAGCACTGACTACTCATCCAGAGGTCCTGAGTTCAATTCCCAGCAACCATGTGGTGGCTCACAACCACCTATAATGAGATCTGGTGCCCTCTTCTGGCCTACAGGCAGGATACTGTATAAATAAATAAATCAAAAAAAAAATTGCCGGGCTGGAGAGATGGCTCAGTGGTTAAGAGCATTGCCTGCTCTTCCAAAGGTCCTGAGTTCAATTCCCGGCAGCCACATGGTGGCTCACAATCATCTGTAATGAGGTCTGGCGCCCTCTTCTGGCCTGCAGGCATACACACAGACAAAATATTGTATACTTAATAAATAAATAAATATAAAAAAAATGCCATCAAGTACAAAATTTCACATCCATCTGACATTATGTTATAGTAAAAATGCAGGTACACTATGAAATTGTACACAACACCATCAGGCTAAGTGTATATACAGAATAAATTAATACTGTGTTTTAGGCTTGTGTCTCATCTCCAACATACCTCATTATGTAAACCCAAATATTAAAAAAAATAAACGAAAAACATAAAACCCTAAAACTTGAAATATTTCTGGTCTCAAACATTTCACATAAAGGAATCACCACCTTCATTATTAACCTACTTTATGGATGAGAAAGCGGTGACACAAAAAGGCTGGTACTTAGTTTAGTTGTCCCAGAATTCAAACCACAGCAACTCTGCCTTGCAATGCCATGTTCTCAGCAGCAGAACTACTAACTAAAATGTTCTCCAACTAATGTTTTCAGCCTTAAAATATTTTTGAAGCCCAAACCTATTTTTTAAGTGCTGAAATTGTAGCAAGCAGATTTACTTGAAATAATTGTGTGTAGAGCTCAAGGGCCATGTCACAATTAGTTATGGTGGAGGCATGCACTCATGCAGCCCGCTCAGTTTGCTATACACCTCTCACACCGAACTCGAGACTAGCTCTGCCATTTTCTCTGGTTAATTTCTGATGCTTTTCTTTTCAGAACCCTTCATATGAGACATCTCCCAGTGTCTATCCCAGTACATCTGTTATAAAAATCGTATCTTATTCATTCTAGAATATTGTTTTCAAGGGGGAGGGGTCCCTTTTAGCATTTATCCTCAACAGTACGCAGTGCTGCTAACAAGTCTCAAAGCTAAGTATGGAAATGTGGTATGGAATTCCCAACATGAATCAACTAGCTAGTCCACACATGAATTTCTCTATATGACTACTATTTCAGCTTCTGTTTCGGTGGAATTTGCTGTAAGGAGTGAGTGAAGTCCTGAGTGAATGAATGTGTGTTGTTGACATGGGTACAGCCATGCCAAGGGCCTGACAGGAACCCCAACAGGAGAAAAAAGCCTTCCTCTGATCTAAGTATGGATGTTAATAGCATGTACAGAAAATGTCCACTGTAGCTTTCCACCCCAAACACTTATGGCCTGAAGACTTCTGTCCTACAGAGATTAACTAAACCTGCCCCCTTATTCAGCTGGATGAACAGCTGTATGTCTCCAGGTTCAGCAATATAACAGCAAACACACTGAGCTTGGAGGTGAGGAGATGGCTTTGGCTTCTCCATAAGAGAGTCTAGACCATCCAATCCCAGCTTTTCTTTCTGTCTTTCTTTGATTTCCTTACTGCCCTAGTAAGGTCAATCCCTGGAGCCATGAAGAGTACAGGAACTACGTACAGCTTTTGTGGGAAACACTTCTCTGTCACAAGTAAACAGGACCTGTGACAGTGTCCTCATTACTCAAACGACTGTTCCACCACTGAGAAATCCTTCAAGGCTAACAGAGTATTGCAAAGTCGGTCATATGCTCAGTGAACACTGAAAACAGTGTCATTAACAAAACTTTCAGGCCAAAATCTTCAAACGAGAGAGAACACTTAGCAACCTTGTAATCCCTGATCGTGAAAGGCAGAAACAGAAGAATCATGAGTTCAAGGCCAACCAGGGCATATGAGACCCTCTATTAAAAATCAAGAAAAGACAGAGCATTTATAATTTGCAAACTATCGTTTGGGCAGAAATAGAGCTGGGGATGGGGCATTCAAGATAACCTAAGAAAAACTTGAAAGAAATGGGGAAAAGAGAGTGGAGAGAAAAGGGACTGGTTATCTGGTAACAGAGAGGTTGGCATTTAATGAAGGACCCAGGATCTGAAACCATCAGAATCCCAGCAGTTCCTGCTTACCCAGCGTCTTAGAGGTAGCACAAAGGGCAAACTCTGGCTCTTCTCTGCACTCAGCATCCAGCTGGTCTGTTAGCTGCTTCCTCATTCTCACAGGCTCCCGACACACACGCACAGCACTCAACTCAGCCAAGCCCCATGCTATAGGGAATAACACCATGTGATAGACAGGCAGATGGAACAAGTCAAGAGGAGGGAAAGTCCAATATTTTGGGGGGTTTTGCCAGAAAGCAAAGGATTTACAAATAACTAATATAAAAGACTGGCACATTTCTTGCAGCAAGCTTCTCCATCTTTGTTTATAAAAAATGAGACAGTAACTAGAATAAAGAACACTATTTCTTCTGCCGTAAAAAGGGTTAACTTTTTTTTTTTTAAAAAAAGGAAAACAATAGTCATCCTGTATATCTTGAGAAAAACCCAAACCCCTCTAATTGTGGCTATTGGACTAATTCCAGCATATCTGTGATTTAACAACTGTCGAAAAAGGGAGAAAAAGATGCCCAGTATAAGTAAGGTACCACAAAGGAGCATTCCACAAGCTTATTGACTGGAACACACGCAGTAAAATATTTGCCTGGATAGTTGATAAATTCAGTCTATAATGTGTAGTGCGGCTTTTCCTATTGGTATATAAAAGCAAGCTTACTGTGTCCTCCTAAGACTCATACAGAGATAGGAATGATGTCCAGTGAGCAGGGCCAGGCTTAAAAGGTTTTATCTACCCACAGTTAACTTAGCTCCTATCGTTATTCTTGAGCAGCCTGCTAGAAACCTCTGGCTTTTGTCAGATAATCTCTGCATCAAACTCATTTCTTGAAAACTCGCACTGGTAACATGCTAGATTGATGCTGCTTATTTTTTTACCAACAGTCACTCATATTCAATGTGAAAAAAGCCTCATTAGTAGCAAGGCTTCTGAAAGAGCCCAAATTCCAGCGAGTCATTTCACTCAAACCCAAAATAAATCATATTGATATTTCAGGCTCATAATCTTGGATGGTCTTTTTATCACCATATATATGTATATATACATACACATATACATACACATATATACATACATACATGTGTCTGCATGTATGTATGTGCTTGCTCTCAGAAGCCAGACGGCGTCAGATCTTCTGGGACTGGAGTTACAGATAGTTGTGGCTGCTATGTGAGTAGCGGGAATCAAACCTAGGTCTTCTACAAGAGTAGGCAGTGCTCTTAACCACTGAGCAATCTTTCTAGCGCCTTTATAATTAATTATAAAGGCAAATTGATAGCTCAGTTGATGAAGTGCTTACCTTGCAGGCACAAGGACCTTAGTTCAATCCTCCAGAACCTACAGTCTTAAAAAGCCATTATGGTGGTACACACTTGAAATCCCAGAGCTGGAGAGAAGGAACGCAGCATCCAAAAGTGGTGGTCCACACTGTAATTCTAGTACCAGGAAGGCAGAACAAACCTAGCTTACTCAGCCAATTGAGGAAGGTCAATGGGAGATCCTGTCTCAACAAACAAGGTGGAAAACTCCTGAAGAAAAATAGCTAAGGTTGACCTCTGGCCTTCATATGTAAGGGCAAATGTACCTGTGCATCTAAACACGCATTCTCATGGGGGGATGCATATATGTATATATACAATCAAGTCCAATTATTTACATTGAGTTCATCTATCTATCTATCTATCTATCTATCTATCTATAAATATAACAGATAAGTAAAATTTTATCACACGTTTTCTCTGTATAAAAACCAATTTCCAGAACACACAAAGAGTTTTACTAATGAGCTTATTTGAGTACAAATTTTTGTTTTCGTTTAGCAGTTTTAAATGTCTACTATATGCTAGGCTCTTGAATTCTCTACTTCAAATGGAAATAGAACTGGAGGCTAAAGAAGTTGTTACATGTCCTTTTAAGGAAAGAGGGTAGTCAGGCATGATGGCACATACCTGTAACCCCAGCATTCCAGAGATGGAAGCAAGAGGATTGTGAGGTGGCGGCCAGCTTGGGCTTTGTAGAGAGACCCTATCTCCAAGAAATTACAGCAGGAGAACTATTAAGCGTCGGAGGTGATATCTGTAAGTTCTGTCTGGAGGAGAGAAAAGGCATGTTGAATTTCAACAGTCCTTCTAATTTGTGCTTATATGAACACGTACCACTTTCTTTCTTTTCTTTTTGCTATTAGCAGAAAGTATAATGTTTTGTCTCAGACCCGTATTTCTGAACACTCTCTACTAATTTTATTTCAGCTCCAACCACCTAGCAAACTAACCTAGAAACTGAATTGCAATTTGCAGAACAGGATTCCAACAGAAAACAGTGATAAATGGAGAAAGAATAGAAGTTTTACAAAGTACAAAAGGCCACTCTAGCCATGACACAAAATTCAGAGCATCAAGAAAAGATGAGCTGTGGGCCACGAGGGCTAGAACAGTCCCAGCATCCTCTGAACAGATTATAGGGCATGGACATTTCAAATGAGGCACTCCAATGCACAGAACCCACTTGATACACACAACTCTGCCAATTTTCTATTATGGACAGTGACGATAGTGTGACCAATTCAAAACTTAAGGAGCACATAGAAAATTTTACTCTATGAAAATAGAAAATATTCATCACCAAGTTAAAAACATTTAAAAGATTTGGTGCTACTGAGCTAGAAAGAACAGGGAACATTAATAAAACCTGATTATGTATATTAGGTAACTGCTCTACCAATGAGCTATATGTCCAGCCGTCTTTTTAAAACTTTTGATTGCATATGCCTGTGCACATGTGCGTACACATTCAAACATACAGGAGTACAGACAATTGTGGAAGCCAGAGGCATTGGATTCCCCAGAGCTGGAGTTACAGGTGGCTGTGAGTCTGACATGGGTGGCAAGAACCAATCTCACGTCCTCTGCAAGAACCCACTGACTCATCTCTCTAGCATCCCCAGGCCTCTTTTTCACTTCCTATTTGAGAGTCTCATTAAGTAGTCCAGACTTGAACTCACTCTATAGCCTAGACAAGTCTTGAACTTGTGATCCTCATGACTTAGCCTGTAGAGTAGTTGAAATTACACAGCTATGGACAGTCAAAACCTTCTTCCCCTCCTTTTTGAGACAAGATCTCACAAATGTGGCTAAATATGACCCTGAACATGAGGATCCTCCTGCCTCTACCTCCCAAATATTGGAATTACAGGCATGCGTTTTCAGTTCTGGGGAGTGAACTCGGGGCAGTGTGTAAGTTAAATACTCTTCTACTGCCGGGCGGCGGTGGTGCACGCCTTTAAACCCAGCATTTGGGAGGCAGAGGCAGGCGGATCTCAGTGAGTTCGAGGCCAGTCTGATTTAAAAAGCAGGTTCCAGACAGTCAGGACTGTTACACAGAGAAACCCTTTCTCGAAAAACCAACCAACCTGTGGGTGACAGTTGTATGGGTGGGCAGACTGTGGGGCTACTGGCAGTGGGAACAGGATTTATCCCTACTGCTTGTACCGTTTTTTTTTGGGAACCTATTCTCTTCGGATGGATACCTTGCTCAGCCTAGATATAGTAGGGAGGGCCTTGGACCTTCCCCAAAGCAACGTGCCTTACCCTCTCTGAGAAGTGGATAGGGGGTGGTGTGGGGGGCTAAGTGGAGGGAAGGGGAGGAGGGGAGGGAGTGGGAACTAGAATTGGTAGGTAAAATGAAAAAAAGATAGTTTGTTTTCTTTTTAAAGAAAATAAAATAAATTAAAAAAAAAAACCAACCAACCAACCACCACCAACAACAACAACAAAAAAACTGGACTACTAAAACCTGCTCTTAAAAGACAGTTTTCCCATGCTGAGCATAGGGGAGCAGGCCTTTGATCCCAACACTTGGGAGACAGAGGCAGGCAGATCTCTGAGGTCGAGGGCAGCCTAATCTATAGAGTGAGTTCCAGGACAGCAAGGGCTACACAGACAAACAAAACAACAAACAAAAGGCAGTTTTCCCCTTTACTAAACCCAATCTTAACTCTTTCATTGTTTGTCTTAGCAGCTTTACCATAAAACAGACTTTTGGCCTCTAACCTGACCATCTGTAAGCAGAAATGATCAAATCCACTTGTCTCCCTCTGAATTATGGGAGATGAAAAATAGGACCTTGGGCACATTAGGCATATACTCTACCACCAAACTACATCCCCATTCTGGAATGGTAAAATTTTTAGTTTTGGGATTTTTTGTTTTGTTTGTTTTTTTGTTTTTAAATGTTGGGTCTATAAGCATGGTTTACTTACAGAGATCCGTTTGTTCAGCTGCCCTATGAAGTGAACTTAGGAAACTCTGCATCACTTTGTTAAGATTTCAAGTGAAGGCATGAGTGTAGGTATTTAAAGACTACATCTGGAGGACACTTGTGGAATGGAAGGTCCATGCCTAACTACTGCTTTATTTTGGCTTAAAACTCAGGAAAAACTCATTTCTGGAAGCTGACACATTCAATCTCCCTGCAGCTTCTACAGAATTCCTCAAACAGGCTTGTGCATGCTAGCTTTGAGGTCTGTCTTTACTCAGAATGTTCTCCCCATCTATATGCATAGGCCACCAAACTTATTCAAATCATACCTGATGGTCTGAGCTACCCTACTTACTGTGCCTAACTTATACAAGCCCTGGAGATCTTAACACTAGCAATCATGCATGCACATCCTCTGAGCCATCACCTCAGCCAAGGGTGGATTACTTACTTATTTATTTATTTATTTATTTATTTATTATATAGACAGTGTTCTGCCTGCATACCAGAGGAGGGCAGCAGATATCATTACAGATGACTGTGAGTCACCTTGTAGTTGCTGGGAACTGGACTCAGGACCTCTGGAAGAGCAGTCAGTGCTCTTAACATCTAAGCCATCTCTCCAGCCCCAAGGGTGAATTCTTAAGAGTAGAACTCTTTCTGTCAAGAGACTCAGGAGTATTATTACTTGGGGGCAAGAAACTAGTGTTTCTTATCTCAAAACAAATTGGGTTAAATAAAAGTACTCCACGACTTCTCATCTGTGATTAATAAAATTAAATTCTTCAACATGGTATAAAGCCCTAGATCTATCACCATCCGCTCTTCATCCTTGTCCTCCATCACCCCTGTCCTTTCTGATCCCCTCGTTTCAATGCTACCAGTAGACTGTCCATCCTTTTCCTCTAATTGCCTTTGCTATACTTTGACGTCTTATTTGTATCTTTTAACACTTGCAATTATTGGCCACGCTCACAAGAATAACTTCTTTCAGGATAAGGAGAAGTTCTATTATCCTGTTCTTAGGCCAGTTTCTATTACACAGTGTAAAACAACAGAGTAAATGTTGAATATGTGCCGACTCAACAACTGTGTACCTACTATGAGTTAAAGTCTAGAAGATAAACTGATATGTTTAATGTTCTAAACTGTTAAAACCCAAGATGAATAGGTAAAGTTACAGTATTTTCTTTCAAGCCAACCAAAAACCTCCTGTGACTAATGCTATCAATCACCAGTTTAAGCCACCACTGCCGGTAAGTGGTGTTTTTAAGGGTGGAGGCCAGTTTGTTTTATATAACAAGACCCTGTCTTGAACAAACAAACAAATATGATAATATGGTGAGATCCACCTATAATCCCAGCTATGCAGGTAGAAGCAAGAAGGTCAAGGCCAACCTGGGCAATTTAGCAAGACTCTCGTTTCTATGAAATAAATGGAGGAAAGGTCTGTACGGCTCAGCAGTAGAGAGTGTGTGCGGTCTCGGGTTCGCTCTCCGCAGCTACAAGAACAAAGCCAAGCAGTGGCGAGACTGGGCAGCAGTGCGCTTATGAGGGCCCACAGATGTGAGCCTGTTCCAGCTTGACTGGAGGTCAGAGAGTTTGAGTTTATTTTTGTTCTCTTGAAATTGTTGACAACAGGTGTGGCTACAAACAAGAGATCCTGACCTAGGGTGTGGTTAATTAGTATTTGGGGTATAGAGGCAAATCCACTCCACCTGGACCAAAGGCCGGAGAATTCAAGTCTATTCCTTATACCATGTTAATGAAATCTGTTGTCTCCCCACTCCCACTTTGAAGTGAAGCATGTGGAAATTAAAAAAAAAAAAAAAGATTCGGGATTCTGTATTCACTGAAATGTCCCTCCCAATACTGTTCTGTATTTGTCTCTTATATCTCTGTTCCTTTTGCTTAATAATTCTAATCCTCACGCTCCTACCTCGGAACGTGGTCTTTGACAACAGCTACAGGAACAAAAACAAGCAGTGACAAGACAGGGCAAGAGTGCACTGCTACCGCTGGCTGGGGGCTGTGAGGCACCAGAATGAGCGGGACCCCAATGAGAAGGTGGCTGAGGAGCAAGCGGTCTCTAGCGCTGATCCATGGGTGAGATGCCGATGGATTCCGGAACACTGTAACAAAGCACTAACTTGTAGTCTAATCTCAAGCTTTCCAGCCAGAGTTAAAAAGGCTGGCTGACCTTCTGAAAACAGTTAAAGAAATTTATGGGTAATTTGTGCTGCTCTTTGCAATGTACAGATATCATTGTGCCCTCCCGACTTTGGTCCTAAAGTAATTAATACTTTCTTTCCCAGCATTATCATCAAAATGACAAGAATTCTGTAAACTATAAAGCCAAAACTGAGAGAGGGGAGAAGACTGCAGCAGCTAAGAACTTTCAGTGAATTTTTAGAGATGGCAAACAGAAACTTTAAAGGCGGACATAAAGATATATATAAGGATTATCGTGATGTCTGCTCACTGCACAAATTCTTCACCCACTGCTAAGTCAGAAAATGATTTTGTTTTCTCCACCTCCCCATTCTAAGGTTTAGAGAAAAACAAAGTGAACTTTGAAATGACTTGAGTCAGATACAGTCAGGACCATTACACATCCAAAGAAATCACAAGATAAAGGAGCTCATTTGTTTCTCAGATTACTAAGTGCAAAGTCCCTCTCTACAAAGGTGAACAGAAGAGACCAAAACCAAACCCTGGGGAAGTCCATTGTAGCAGTGAGGTTTTGTCAGGTAAGAAATGCTGGAAACAGGGAAGGAAAAGAGAGATGGGTCTGACTTTAAGCAGAGAGGGCACCTCATCCAGGTTCTCTGA